ATTTATTTAGCTCACAGCTAGTGCAGGTTTCAGTCCATACACCACTGGGTCTAAGGCTGAGTGTCTCATGTTAGAGTGCGACAGCTCATAGTAGTGGAAAACAGCAAATCACAAAGGGATGTGTAGCAGCTGTGGCAGATAGCAAGCCTCTTTCACTTCTTTATATTGTATTCGGGCTATCTGCTGAAGGACAGGTGTAGTACTCATAGCTGTAATTCCAGCACTGGATCATGAATTAATCACAAAATCTATCATATGCTCCAAAGACTGCATTAGCATTTGGGAGGACAACTAGGCACAAACCATAACATTCCTCTTCTTGCACCCCCTACAAACTCATGTACTTTCCTTTATGCATAAGGCATTTTAGTCCATCTCTAAGAGTTACCAAAGACTTAATATTTCAGCATTGATAAAAAGTCCACATCCAAATTTCCTCCAAGGTCTGAGGCCAACTCTTAGGTGTGAGCCACTGTACAAATGAAAAGTTAAACACTTTAAACATTCAGTGGCACAAGATAAACATTACCACTCTGATAGGTACAAACAACAGAATACAAAGTACTGGGACAAAATCAAGTCCAAAATTAAGAAGAGCTAACATTACATCAGGTATTTCCATGTGGAACATTCAAAGCAATCTGAGGCAGATTATAAGCTCCATATGATTCCACCTCTATGGCACTTTTATTAGCAGTGAACATGGCTTTTCTCTTACGTGGGCCTTTGTGCGTGGATATCAAGGGCTCTTTATCAAAGCTCAGTCTCAGAAAATAGTGTAGCATCTTTTGGCCTAAGTCATCATCGGAAGTACAGATCAATAGACAGCATATCACTGATCTGTTGCTTTGGCTCTTGGCTAGTCCCATTTTAATTGCTTAAAGACAATTGATATGATAGAATATTACTGCAGCCATCTCTCTCTATATATATATATACATTAATACACGAAATGAAATCTAGCAGTACCCAAAATGGAGACAAATGATCTTCTTTCAGGGACAGCCTTCCCAGTGGTCTTCCATAAAATATTCAGTGACATAATATATCTCAAATGCATTGGAGCTGTAAAAACTATTCATCCAAAACTTACTAGATGATACTAATCTGTAATGTAAAGCAAATGGGAGTAGTAAATTAAAGAAAAGTGCACTTGGAATAAGTAATTAATTTATAGAAATCAGCTTAGAAATTTTCTAAGTAAGAGATGAGACAAAGTATCAAAGTAAGTGATGTTTACATGACAACTAGTTTGAAAAAAGATATAATTGCAGAAGTCCAACTTAAGGGAAGAATTGTAAAACTCGTCACAATATAACAAATAATAACTTAGGAAGTTAAGCCCATTAAAATTAGAGCAGATTTTTCAACAAACAATTAAACCCAACTTAAGTTAGAGTGAAGCCTTTAAAACCTTAATATAAAGTACCCATGCAGACTACTACATCCTTCTCAACTACAGTTTAAGATGGATGTGGAAATGAGTACAATATATGACAAGTGACAGTTTTTGAATTCATGAACACCAGACCATCTGTGTAAGTATTCCAGAATATACAAAACAGAAGCAACAATTCAAAGAAAAGTAAAATATGCCTTAGAACAGAAATATAAAGCAAATGTGGAATTAAAATATATGCTGCAACGGATTTATCTTAGTTCCTTTTCTCTAATAATTGAGAGAATACAAAGGATCAAAGATAACAGAGAAAAAGTTTATTTAGCTTATAATTTCTAGGATTTTCTCTGCATAATTGAAGTGATTCAAGGCAGACTGGTACATGGCAGAGAAGCATAAATTCAGAGTGTAAAAAAGAGCACAAATACATACAAATGAGAAACACAGACCTCTTTCAGATCTTTTTATCTTATTCAGACTGCTGGAATATGGTTGTGTCAATGCAATTAGTGGACTGATCCAGCAATCATTCACCTTTAATTGCAACTCCTTTAATATTAGCTTAGCTTAAAGCATCAATAAGAAACCCTTGCTTCATCTATGTCTGTAAAAAGCCCTGTATAATAGTGCATGAGGCTTTGAGAGATAGCTGTATAAATGTAACATTCCTCGTGTGCCCCCACAGGACTCATCATGTCCCTTTTAGCAAAAAGCACAAAATGCTTCAACATTTGCCAAAGTCAACTAATAGTTACAAAAATGCTGAAAGCTCCAAAATCCAAAGCTCTGAAATTTAAAGCAAAATCTTGGCAATGATCTCATGTACAAATGAAAAAAAGTTAGGTACTTCCAACTTGCAATTGCACAAGTTGGCATTTCCATTCCAAAGGTTACAGACAGAGGGGTTCAAAAGGAATGGGCTCAGAGCAGGGCTAAAGTCCATCAGAGAAAACTTAATCTGTCCAGTCCCCTGTGTAGTCTCTAGCAAGATGTGAACTCAAAAATTACTTTAATGACTCTAAAGCTACGGCACTTCTGGTTGTTCTAGCTCTAGTAGCTTCTCTCTTAGGCTGGTTCTGCTCCTTCCTTGCCATTTTCCTCATAAGATCCTGAATGCTGAAAACTTATTGTTTCTCTGTTGTTCCTTTGGCTTCACACTCATAGTTTCACACTCATAGCTTCACACACTTCACTCATAGAGACAAACTGTTTGGCCACAAAACCCTCTAATACATAGATGGAAGCCTTTGTAAATGATAATTTGCCCTTTCTGCAAGAACCTAAAACTGGTGTCACATGGATGACTTCACTAACACGTGGAAATTAAACACCTTTCTGAACAAACAATGTGCCACAAAAGCAATCATAAACAAAATTACAGTATATTCCATGGTACTGCTACTGCTGTCAATGTGCCCATGGGCCATTTTTCTTGTGGCACAGACAAACAAATACCAATTAGACAGGAGAAGAGTGATGTTTAACCGCCTTTCCAGCAACAAGTACTTTGGGGAATGGCAGAATGTTTTGAACAGGACACTTATTTTTGGATATTAAATGGGAGGCCACGGAGCTCTGAGTTGTTCTTTGAAAGACCCTGGAAAGTACAAATCTCTGTCAGCATTTGCTCCAATTTGCAACCGAGTTCTCTGTGCTTAGGGAAAATATTCCCTGGATATTTGCAAATGGATAAAAGTAAATGGAAGACTTATAATGCAACCCATCTTGTTAGTTGTTATCTAGGTTCTCAGCTGGACATACTGATTGATCAACGAAAAGATGACCAGTTACTTGAGGATGGACAGCTACTCCCATATAACTTTATCACTCTTATACATAAAAGACAATCCCTCTTGTTTTTAGATTACAAGGGGGTTATGATGATAGTTTCTACTTCATTGACACTTGAATTAGTGATCATATCAGACATCATGCAAAATGAAAGCATGAAAATCTTCAAATGAATGAATGTCTTCAAGATAATAAAAGTGAAAATAATTACTGGCAAAAGACATTGTTAAAAATACAGGATTTCATAATGCTAAAAGCTTCCTTCTACAGTTGAATCACATTCTGAATTAATGCGTAAAAACTTCTTCTGATTTAAAAGTTATTTTACCAATGTTCACATAGGAAGTTTTAGTAATTTTCTTTTGCTGTGATTTGGAACTCTTTGTACATTAATCTCAGAACCCTGAATATGAGTATAATATTGTTCATATCATAGAATACTAACCTGGAACAGAGCACTTAAAGGTTATTTAGCCCAGATTTCCTCTTTTCCAGACTTCCAGCATCTGAAGTCATGGACTGTAAATTTGACTTCTGGGAGGCTGTTAATTAGTGGTTGCCAGGTGTAGAGCAATGAAGTAAGGTAAGAAAATTGAAAATAATCCTGCCATTATATCTGTGGGACAGCTATGACTAGAAAACAAATTTCTAAATTTCAGTCCAGTGATTTCTTTCTTATTTTTTGAGCTCACTAAATCTGTGAATATTGGTTTTCATGATGTCTCATGAATTAACTACAATAACTACAAGACTTATGAACCAGTTTTATTCCCAGAGAGCATTCATAAATTGTGAGTACAAGAAAGTGAGTCTTACACATCTTTGACATAAATATACAATGTAAAGCATTAAAAAAATCTTAACAGAAAAATACTATAAATTATTTTTACTTTCATAGTTACCTTAAAATTCTAAGGTAGACATGTGAGGTAAATACAGGTACTGTTCCTTATTGGAGGTTGGTTCACCCGTGAAAGTTCAGAACTCAGATGTTCTTAAATCAGGACTTAATGTAATAAGACTTAGTCTAAAATGGCTAAAGGAATTTTACACATTTCATTTGTTATTGTAAATGTTTATTTTAATCATCTTCAGAAATTTAACCTGGTGAGCTCACAGAGAAAAGTAACTTTTTGGATAATATTAATTTACATTCTTTTATAAACTTCCTTAAAAGACATTTAGAGTATTATAGGTTTTCTTGGCAAAAGTTTTTCTATTTTTCTTTTAAAAAGCACAAAAGAGGGGGCTGGTGAGATGGGTCAGTGGTCTAAAGCACCTACTTGGAACAA